GCACCAGCACCCAGAGAGGTGTGGATGCTCTGCCCCAAATCCAGTGGGGTTGGAAGGACATACAGGAGCCTGGGTTCCCATCCCTGTTACACTGCACTAAGAGGTTGGTGGGGGCAGAGCTCCCGTCCAGACACATCCACCAGGAAACAGCTTCTGACACTTGTCCTGGGTTCAGCAGCGTGGGGTCATACTGCAGCCCCTCGGCTGGGCAGCGAGGCCATTCCGGGGCAGGGAGGTGACATTAAACACAGTGTCACACAATGCCAGGCACTGCTGGGTGCGCAGCAGAGCCTGTGTCACCCTCACCTTGCTCAGGGAGGAGGACACCCCACAGACAGAGGGCTTGGGACATGAATCTCCTGCCAAAAAGGGCTTGGGGACAGTCCCATGTCACATACCCCACACCACTGAGCCGAGAGCCCCTCATCCCCCAGGACCCACACATGGACCCATCAACCCAGCTACCTCAAGGTCCCAAAAAGGCAGGTGAGACTTGCCAGCAAATGATGATCCACCGGGATCTCTGGCTTCACATCTGCCAAGCGAGGCACGGCAAACACCCCTCCCGCTCAGCCTGTGAGAGGCGAGTGGGGCAGCCTCTCCCCGCTGGAGGCCGAGGATTAGTTACCGACAGCCCAGAGACTGAATGTTCCCAAAAAACATCCTTGCCCAAACATAAACCGCTCCGACCGACTCAAATATGCACAGTCAGGTTGTTTCTCGCTGGGGGAAAGCAAAGTCTTACAGGGAGGGGAGCTGTGCGCTGGGACCTGCGGGGTCCCTGCGGGGAGAGAAGGGACCTTCGGCCTGAAGTCGCTCTGAAAGTCAAAACTCTGTCCGGTTTCTGAACAACAAGCGGCTCCCAACAGGGAAAACACCCCTAAGCGCGGCCAAGGTGGTTGGCGAAGGGATGGGGGAGATGATGGATCGGGAAGGGGGTTTCGGGCGGTGCAATGGGGGTGTCCCCCACCGGCGACGCTCGGAGGAAATGAGATGCCGCGGCAAAGCCCTGGGGAAGCCGATCGGAGCTGTCGGGGTGAGGATGCCCCAGGTATGGCCCAGCATCCCCCAGCAAGCCACCAGCCCCCTGCCACATCCCGCTGGTCCACATCCCGCAGCCCCCCTGCTCCGCAGCCCTCTCCCCGCCGGCAGACAGAGCTGCCATTGATGCTGGGAGCCGCCTCACCTGCTCCGCCGCGCAGAAGGGCTCCAACAATGGGCTGACTATGTGCCCTGGCCGGGGCAGAGCCAGGAGCCCCGCGCCTGAAATATAAGCAGCCGAGGCGGCATTTACGGCTCCGGCCCCGCTGCCCCGGGGGGGAACGCGCCGGCACTCCCGACCGCAGCGGGGAACACCCCAAAACAACCGCACGTGAGCGCCCGGGGCGCTTTCTGCCTCACCTCCTGCGCACCCCCGGGCTGCTGCCGGCCGCCTGCATGGGGGATGCTGCAGCGGGTGTCCCCCCTGCCAGCGCAGGTGTCCTTCCCTTGGGGCCAAAGCGGTGGCGCTCCCGTGGCCTTTGGGTCTGACATTTGTTTAGGGTCTCTGCATCACAGTGCAGCGAACCCGTCCCCGTGTCACCACTGAGTTCTTGCGGCCATTACGCTTTGTCCCCATCCCGAGGGACCCCAGCTGTGCGGGAGCCAAGAGGGGAGGGTTGGGATGGGGGTGCTCCCAGGAATCCCCCAGGGACCGTGGCCCTGCTCAACTCCTCGGTAAGCACCAGTGAGCTGTTTGCTCACCACAAGAATGTGTCCTGCCGGGGGTGGCCGGCACCCCGAAACTCCGGTGATTTACCCTTTCCTCCGTTGTGAGTCAGGCGGCGGCAGCTGCCCCGGGCCAGCACGACATTGGACACAGCCTGTACTTTGGGCAATTTGCGATGACAAAGTGGGGACGCCGCGTGTGGGGCTCTGATTGCAGGGTCAGGGGCTGCAGTGTTTCACTGCCCCGTCCCATCCCAGCTCTACCCCAGTAGCTCCTACCCCACACGCCTGCCCCGAGTATCCCACTCTTCCCCTGCCCTACAGCCCTACTTGGAGTATCCTCCCTGTCCCATATCCCTGTCCAGAGGTACCCCTCTCTCCTACCTCCCGCTCCGCCGTGGGTTATCTGCCCTGCCCCATGCCCTGGTGCTGAGCATTCCCATTGTTCCACAAACCTGGGGAATCCTGTGCCCCCCAGCCCTGTCTGGGGTGCCAGCCCCCTTCACCAGAGCCCTGTCTGGGGCATAGTCCTGCCCCAAAGCCCTGCTTGGGGTGTCCCCACACCCTACAGCCCTGCCTGGAGCCCCCTCCTGCCCCAGAGCCCTGCCAGCACCCCACAGACACGCGTGCCCTGGGAGAGGGTGTGCGTGTGTGCACCTGAACCACCAGAATGTGCCTGTTCACCTCTGCTTCTGTGTCAGCCTGTGCGAGTCTGAGCCTGTGAGTGTGTCTGCCAGTCTGTATGTCCGTGTGTGTGTCTGTCCGTGTCTCTGTCTGTGTGTCTGTCCGTGTGTCTGTCCGCGTGTCTGTCTGTGTGTCTGTCCGTGTGTCTGTCTGTGTGTCTGTCTGTGTGTCTGTCCGTGTGTCTGTCCGCGCCAGGTGTCTGTGTGTCCATGTGTTTGTGTGTACGGCTGCATGCCGGGGCGCTGCTGCCGGCAGAGGGGGTATGTGTGTGTGTGTGTGTGTGTGTGTGTGTGTGTGCCTGTACCTGTGTGTGTGTGTACCTGTGAGTGTCTGTGTGCCTGTACCTGTGTGTCTGTGTGTACCTGTACCTCTCTGTGTATGTGTGTGTGGTCTGTGTGTTTGTGTACTTGTACCTGTACCTGTGTGTTTGTGTACCTGTGTTTGTGTACCTGTGT